CTTGATTAAAGTCATAAAATACCCAGATGACAATCCAATATAACTTGGCCCTCAGGAAATTCATATGAGACTTCTTTGCCAAAGAATGTTTTATAACTAGCATTGATTTATCAAGGCTGAAATTCGCCTCTATCCCCTGCCCATACACTAACAATATCCATGCCATGCAATGTACTGTACTTGAAGATACAGAGTTTATGTCTCGGTACCATCGACAACGAAATCGTTAATTACAATTTAAAATGTTGTTTTACTGACCTTACGAATACATTGGGAGGGAGCCTGAATACTTTTCAAAGTAGAATTCAAAGGAATATTTCTTGAATAATTATTCCTTACTCATTTTAACGGGTTGTGGAAGTTATTAAGTTATTAAGCTATTCAGCACCGGGCGCGTAGATATGATACACATACGCGAAAAATATTTGTATATCATCCACAGATAATTGCTCCGGATCTGGACGTTTGTACCCAAGGACGTTTGTACCGCTTTTTAGACGTTAACCCTTAACGTCTAAAAAGCGGTGGTATCGTACCAAGGCGAGATCAGTCAAATTCTTCTTGGCACCAAAAAACTGTATACAGGGTGATTTTATAGACGACGGACATATTAACATAGCATAATTATGCATAATTTTATTCTGAATCTGAATCTGGTAAGTACTTGTGACCTATTTTTTTTTCAAAGATTATTTTTAATTGTTTCATACGATATGGACATCCTATTAAAATTTTCTGTCTGACCGTCTCAATAAAATGACCTAGCCGCTGATCTCACTGTGCCGTTACTGTTCGCTGTTTGATTTGTTGCTATCTGTGGGGTGACCACTCTGAACGGGATAAACAAACAATGTTTGAATTGATATTTTTCTGATTATTTCTTGCCAAAATAAAATATTAACATTTTTTTGAATTATGGAATGCTCAATTAACATTATGTCAAATTATGTACTTGGTCTAAAAATCAACCTGTATAAGAAGTAAAAATCGTTTACTGTGTTCGTCTACGCGAATTGAGTTCGTAGCATGTTTTGAAATGAAACGATTACTCGAACTAGGTTCAAGGAACAAGGTGAGATGCATTATGTTCGATCACAGCAAATAATTACGTTGATTTCGTGATTCAGTGCGTGTCTTTGATTTTGTTCACGCAGGCTTCCATGGATCTGTTATTAAATAAAATTTTCATTGTACATTTACCACAACCGTTTAAGAGTGGTAGGTCTACGCAACAGTTTACAGTTACACGAATGGGTCCGTCTGGGGAAGAACCACGACCTCACAGGAGATCAGCGTGAAATGGAAGTGGTATACTTTTAAAAGTGGTATACTTCTGCGTTTCATCTGGCGAATGAATTAGCCGGGGCCAACTACATTAAAAGTTGGCAACGCATCTGTAATCCTACGGGTGTTGCAAAATCCATGGGCGGCGGAAATGACTGAACGTCACGTGACCCGCCAGCCCGTTTGCCACCTTCTCACATAAAAAAATACAATTTTGGGTGAAATAATAAACGAATATGATGGCTTATACATCCGTCTTATTACATCGCTTAATTTCTTAATTAAGGACTTTATAGTTCGTTTTATGTATTCATTTATTTATTGCTAAGGATGACTCAGTGGCGCGGTCGCAAAGCCTCGGCTTCGGCACTGGAGATCGTGGGTTCGATTACCACACGGTACAAGTATTAGTTTTGTCCACATGTAGATGTTCCGGATGTAGAAATTTGTTCCCAAGAAGGGTTGACGTCAGGCCGGCGTCGAGTCAAAATATCTGGCCATTACCGTTAACAACATGATTCACATTTTGTGTTGAATGTTAGATAAGGGCAGGAGAATATGTGTGTTAAACACATAGGTAACCTTATTACGTTGTCAGGGTGCTTTATGAAGGCTGATTATTAGATACATTTTTTTTGAAATTTCTAAATAGAAGAAAGTAAAACTTTCTAAATAGAAGAAAGTAAAATGAAATTAGTATTTGTACACTGGCACATAAAATTATAAGAAACTTTGGATGTGGAAAACAAACAATTGAATTAACAAGAAAGGAAATTGTTATAAATTATTCTCATCGAATATTCCATCTTTGATTAATAGAGACTACATTTTGTAATAAGTACATTTTATATCTTGTTATTACGATTGTAGTCCCTACCGTGTTTATAATTAAATTCATTATCTTAAAAGGATTTACAATAAACTAGCAATTGCTGTGGAAATATTTGTAGAAAATATGATAACAAAGTATTTATAGACTTATAGATAACAGTAGTCCTCTTATTGCGTTCATCTGCTTATGTAGTTAAGCTGTTACTTTAGATACTTATCATAATTTCTATCGTGACGCTTTGTTTTGGGGCAAATTTGGGCATTACAGAATTTTCTTAATTTAAATGTTTTAATATCTTGATAGTACTTCTGTTCAATGATCAATTTTGGGAACAATGTGGTTAAAACATGCTTTCATTTCTATTTACAACTTTCTTTAGGTTGAAATTATTTAGAGAGTTTACTGCAAATGCCTGAAATGTGGTCGTCGTCGTTGTGGCTATCAGCCGTTTAGTTCAGTGGCTAGAGCGTCAGGCCGCGAATGCCGATGACGTGGGTTCGATTCCCACAGCGGCGACAATCTTTTCGTACTTTTTCTACATGTTTTAATATTCAATCTTAAGTGCAGAGATTAGCACTATAAAAAACGTTAGAAGAAATTTTGCATTTTGCAATAAGAACTAATGACATCTTCCGCATTTCCCCTGTGTATTGAGTATCCTATGTTGTTTCTCTGTTCGAAAAAAATTAAAATAAATAGTATTATTTATAAATTAAATCTACCAGCGGCATTGAATTGAAGTTTTGGATAGTTGTAAGATTTTGTCGCCGTATTCTAGTAGAAGTATTCTAGTCTATAACTTCCAACGGTCTCTATTAATAAGCCTATATATACACAAATATAAATGGATAAATATGGCAATCCTTTAAGTGATTCTCTATTTTTGGATTCACTTTCACATCCATACATCGCATCTTAGTTTTTAGGGTTCCGTACCCAAAGGGTAAAACCGACCCTATAACTCCGCTGTCTGTCTGTCACCAAGCTGTATCTGTGGGGCTCCCATACAACAGATTTTTTTTGCCGTTTTTATAGATAATGGTAAGGAACACTTAGTGGGCGAGTCCGCCTCGTACCGTTTGAAAGAAAATCCTGAGGGTCCTTTGAAACCTAGAAACGCTTTGAACGTAGACCTGCATAGCAAAAATGTAACAATCGTCAAGATATCGCGCTGAACCGAAACAACTGTTTCTCATATAATCTAAGGGGAGGCTCAGACACACTTTAGACCATTGAGTCCAATAAAGTCGTGGTATCAAAATAAATGTAGAAAAATAAAATAATATAATAAAATAGTAAAAAAAATTAAAATAGTAGTGGTATTATTTTCATCCAGAAAAGTTGGAGCACGATCCTGAGCCACCTGCATCCATCGACTTGAAGACATTTGCACCGATCGTCACTCCATCTAGTGGAAGTCCGCCACTGCGTAATGGCAGTCTGTGGTCCTATGTTTAGCAGACTAAAGCAGGCTGAAATAATTGTGATGATGAATATTAATTTATGCAGTTTACATTTGTTAAAAAAAACCTTCATCGATAAAACAGAAATCCTGCTTTTATATTTTTTTTATGTGAGAAGGTGACAAGCGATTCAGCGATATACCTGATGTTATATACATTCTATGTCTATGTATATGGACAGTTGCAACACCCGTCAGATTGCAAAATGCATTGCCACCTTTTAGTAAAGTGAACTTTCAGCAGACGAAACGCAGAAGTATACCACTTCCACTTCACGCCGGTCTTCTGTGAGGTCGTCGTACTTATCTTTTCTCGGATGTAGACAAGACTGTTGCGTGGCCCTGCCACAATTAAATCACTATGTTCATCAGGAGAAAATTCAAACAAATGAAATGTCAATCCTATATACGATGGATTCTATTCTTCTATTGATTGATCTGTTGCGCGCAGATATTCAAACAAAGACACTTACCTACGAAACTTACATAATGGTATTTGCCGAGATCGAACATTCATTATCACTCGTCGTCTTCAAATCCTAATTTGAACAATCGTTTCAAGTCAGCGAAAAAATGTCGAAGTTCATTTCCGACATTTTCTCCGATAATTGAATACGAAATTATATAGTTGGCCTTATTTCCTTTTGGTTTAATCTGATTTATAAATTGAGCATGACAAGTAAATTAGTTTTTTAATATTTCTTTTTACATATTAACTTTAGACGAACGAATTCTATGATAACGCTGAATTTTCAATGTATTTTAAGTATTATAATTGTTTTCCGATAATTATGGTTAAGTAATTCACTCAAAGCGCCTACTAATAATAACCAGTTATCGAGTTATGAAGTAATAATATATTCAAAAGGAGTTAAAAAAACCAGGTTCAACATTGTAACCAAACCTGTATGAGTATTTATATTTGTAGAGTTGAAGTGGAAGTATTATACTTTTTCTTTTCGTTCGTTGAGTAAGGTAACCAGATCCCAAGGTTGGCAACACAAATGAAGTAGATGTCCATGACTAATCACTGAATATCACATAAATAACAAGGGTCTTTCTTTCTACTTTCAAAGTCATTGCACAATTTTGATTCTTACTGACGATTTAAATTTGCTTATATCAGAAAACCATACAAAATATCTCTTTATTCTTCCAGGAGCATCCGGCCTTCGCTACAGAGATGTACTCGTATTGGTGAAAAATTTTTATATACTATATGTCAGGCATAAAAGTGACAGCTTGATAGACAGAGAAAACAAAGAAAGATAACACAGAGGCTGAACATTTTTAACAAAGAGGAAGTAAACTCACTCAGGATTTATACACACTTGATAAAAATAAAATGGAATGATACAACACGCGTCTCTTAAAGATATTTATTTGTACTTAAAATGCATCAAATCGGTGTTCCCGTAATTAAAAAATACTGTTCTGCTTGTATAACTTTCTGCTTGAACGTTTTCTTCTTAATGCTGACCTGCGACCTCGCAGTGTCCTCTTATCTCTTGGCGGTGATACGCGATTCGAGGGATACTGCCAATCGGGGCATCTGAAGACGGGAGATTTATATGGTAATTACCATGCTACTTTTATATACGCGAATACCACAGATTACTAAATGAAACTTTTTATCCTTATGCGTAGATAAATAGATAAATGAATAAATATATAAAATGTGGTAAATGTAAAAAATACGTATTTAGTTATTTGTTTATTATTCTGCGTAAATCGCGCACAGAATAAATAAGTTAAAAACGAGTAGTCCAGTTTAACGATGACATTCAGACTCGTCTAACGGGACAGTCTGTCCCGTGACTAGGATCGATGTAAAGTGTTTGAGACTTATTGAATTAAAATTAAAAATAAACGCAAAATTTCAATAATACATACTTTTCGATATCAGGAAGCGATTGCCCTTTACACCTGGCCTCCCAGCGCGCCCAGTATTTGAAACCCTCCTGTTCAAACACCTTTAAAGCGCATACACCGTCGTCTCTTATATCTTCATCTAAAAGAGCTGCAATAAACAATGGCGATAAAACTAAGATATTTTATGTAAGTAAAACTATATTTCGCTATGTAACTATGGTGGCATCTGAACTGGCGCTTCAGCTGATGTTAAGTGATAACCAACGCCCATGGACATTAGCAACACCCATAGGGTTGCAGATGAGTTGCCAACTTTGAATATAGTGGGTCCCGGACCACTCACTCAATGAAACGCAGAAGTATAAAGCTTCCACACTTCGCGCACATCTTCTGTGAAGTTATGGTACATACCCGGACGGAAATACCCATTCGTGCAAGTGAACTGAATAAAAAGTTACACAGGAGAACAATACGGCCTAAAAAACTGTCTTCCAATCAGGTGTGGCCAAGGATCTTATATATCGAATCGATCATAGGCTGTTTAACAATTTTGTTTTTCGTACTCTTGTCTTTTTGACAGCTCGTACCAAACAAATTGAACACACAAAAACTAAGACGGATACAGCTTGAAGAAAACGACTTATAATAAAAATATAGAAGTGTATATAAAATAAAGAGCTTCTATCGGCGTTCCGTTATCAAAAGCAACTTGCGTTGCAAGAGGTTCTTTTACACTTTGACTCATCACAATACGCCTTCCATTTGACTTTTAAATACTAACCTTCACACGAAATGTCGCACTTGCCTCCTTTGCGACCTTCTTTGCAATATTCACTTCCGATCTATAACAAAACATTATTCTTAATAGACATTACGATAAATATATAATGATGATGGGACATTCGATTCGATTAGGGATTGCTCGACTTGATAATGTGTACTGAAGATTAAGTTATATTACTTGCAAGAGCAAAGAGCTACCCCTTTTATACTTTAAAATGCCGGTTAACCTCGGTGGTTACTGTATACAGTGCACTCCATTTTTAAAAATATAAAAGATACAACAGCTAAATGTATCCTAGTGCACTCAACTACTGTCTGCAGTGGACATTTAACGATAATTGCACAATATTTTTATTCCGATTTTACTTATTTAAAAAAAAAGGAAATTTTTGAACGTAATTTTATTACAATAACAAAATTTAGTACGTAAAGAAACATTTAACTCGCCACACAAAGGTCCTAAGTGTCCCATGATCATACTAGATGGTGTGATCATAGGTCATGATTATAAAATGGTAATGATTATAACATATGCAGTTAAACCTTACCTGGAATAATCCGTAGAACTTCCTCCTGGTAGTTTTAGCATGGTAAGCCGATGTATTTCTATCGCTCTCTTGCTCTATAAGGCAAACCCCTAAAACGTAATATTTTGCCTGAAATTACTTTGTTACTATAAAAATTGATTTTATGTTCACTATAATAGCCAGACTCCGTAGATTTTTGGTAGCAATAAAATGGAACTTAACGTTTTCTCTTAGCTCATTCACAACAATTTTAAAAAAAAACGTGATTGTCTGCGAAACATTTTTTCGATATTAAGTAATAAGCAGGTACGTTCCTTAAGGACATGCAAAAATATTTCTAAACCGTAAGAAGTAGATTTGAGAAATGCAGTTTATACCTTTTCTATCCCATTTAACTCTAATGTCTATAGGTTGCTTTGCACGGAGTTAAGGATAAGTAATTTTAAAGTTTCAACCACTCGAACGAACGTTTTACACGATCATTCGAGCACGTAGCACCTTTGCGTTTATTGCAAGAGTAGAATCTAACCACGATATACGATTATGCACTCCGGAGAATTCACCTTTATAAATTTTCAAATACAATGTACTCTAAAGCATCTTATTAGTATTTTATGTATGATAATACAGTATTAATCGTCATTATGTATTTATGAGCTCACATAAAGCACTGTAAACTTGATATAGTCGTTATAATAAACCTAATTCCTTCTTAATAATCGTATATAAATTTAATCTGTATATTTTATCGAAATATTTATCTGACGCAACTAGCACAGTGCAAAAACAAATACATTAAAAGAGTTACTATATACATTACTAATGAGAACGATTGGGAAGTGTAATGTTGTTAAAATGATACATTTTTTAAATAGAAGTAAGTCTACGGGACAACTTTTCATTGTTACTTCATCATGGCAATGTGAAGAAACCCAATGTATATTTATTTTATTATATGTATGTATGTATGTACTATAAACTGGGACGTTAAATTTAGACATGCAAGTGTGACCATGTGTCCTAAAAAAATATATTTAAAATATTTATATTTTTTGTTCATAAGTAATGCGCTGTTCGGTTGCGATTGAACATTCGATTTATGAAGTATGGCTAATGTATCTATATATCGTCCATTTATTCGAACGACATCGGCAGATGGACCTCTGACTATTTGAGTACTGAGTATAGTACGTTTCTCAATTAACAATATATATTCGTTTCGTAGTTTGAGGTTAGTTACAAAATTTTGTATTAATCTTCATTACTATTTTCTTATTTTTAAGACATATGTTGTAACTTACTTTTGTAACTACTTAGATACATAAATAAATAGATAAAAAAATAATAATTTCGGAAACATGAAAGGGGCTGACCTATCCGAGTTCCCAGCAGGTCAGAAGACATGGCACGTTATGTACGTTATTCTTGGCCTAATAAATATTTCAGGCCATTGCCTGCAATATGTTTTCTTAGTCAGGATAAATTACGACTAGAATTTTTTATAGTTTTTCCCGCGTCTTTATTGACATTAATTATACAAAGCAAAAAACATCTAAAATAAAACGTTTGATGTTCACCAAAAGTTAACAAGGGTACAGACAGGTACAGTCATCATTATCAAAGAAAAAACTAGTCTTTACTTTCAAAAAAATTATAGGAGGATACTATCATACTGTCGTAGGAACTTATAAGTACACGGAAATTGAACAGGGACAAACGCCTGAAAGCTTATTCTGAGCATTCACTTGGAAGGATGTATAATTTTTACTAGAAAATCGAACCCGCGAACTGCTTAGCAACTATGCCAACCACGTCACAATAATCAGACATTCTGAATAAACATCAGACATTCAGAATATATAGCTCTACATCTAAGGACCTCAGTGAATCTTTCGCTACACACTAGTTAGAGATTAAGACAAACGCGTCAAGAATTTGAAGAACTAAAACAAAGTATGATTAGATATGAGTAGAACATTATTAGAAAATGCTAGTTGGAAGATCTCCGCCGGAGACAATTCCGGGCCTAAAAGACCGCAACTGACCGTAAAATTCTATAAACAAGCACTGATGCATTGTAACTGCTTATGCATTCATTTAAAAACCAAATGACGTCGCCCGAATTCCTTTGCCTACCAAACAACTGATAACTCGATTAAAACAAATTACAGACGCAAATAGAACTTGTTCAAACAGTTCCACTTGCTTAACCTCGAAACGGTCTGTCGATTTATTAAAATCATCACCCACGCACCCGTAGACCGCGGACGCATCAAGAATATGGAATACAATAGACCTATTAATTATTCGTTTGGTTACGTAACACGCATGGCTTGTAACTCACAATTGCTGAGGAACGTCCTTGGGAAACCGTTCCGTAACAGTTCACGTGTTAACTGACATCTGGTGTAAACTTTGCACTCGATTATCGTAAACGATAGCGCTATTAAAATTACCACAGCGACACGTCCGCGCGCCATTGCGTTGTTTTCAACACTGACAATAATTGTATTGATGTTATTGTTTCGACGATCAGCGCGCGCGCACCTTCCTCCGCGAGGGAAAACCCCGATGCCACTCGTAAAATTCAGTTTTTACGAGACCTCCGAACCTTTTTTGTACTTACCTATAACGTTTCACTGTTTCTTTTTCATTTGTTGCCTTGTTTAAAGATGTGTCTCCATTAAATTAATGCATTAACGTGAACACATGTATGCATGCACCGTACTTTATAACTATCCATACAAAAACAGATTTCGTAATGAGTTCTTAAATATTGTAATGCACGCTTCCATAGTTCTTGAAGTCGTGATCGCGAGACAGACGCGATTTTATAATTGCGAGGTGCTTGCTCTTAGAGTATCTATTTAGCTTAATGCCCGTGAGTTTAGTTCCGAGAAACAAAAAAGTAAAAAAAAGTCTAAGTCAACATTCAATTTTTCACATTTAAAATTGTTGTCCAAAAACTGACAAATATTAACTAAACTGGATCAGTGAAAAGAAAAAGCTACAATAAACTGTCTTGTTTATATGTGTAAATATATAGTTTTAAAGTATTTCTATTGCTGTTAAGCAGTTTAGGAAATTGTATATATAGCAATGAATATCAGTAGAAGGTCGCAACCAAAGCTTCATGGCTTAAAGGCCAAATGGGCTTTGTTTGGCAGGACCTGGCAGCGCTATCAAGAAAACGGTTTATCCATCCCAAAAACCAAAAAGAACTAAGGAGTGCAAATTAACATCCCTCAATATCCATCGCCTGACCCGTGGTCCCAAATAACTCCAAGAGCCTAGAGTCGTCAGATTTAGCTTCGCTCAAAACTTTTTTCGTCGCTTCAAGAAGACTAAGCTATTATATGGTTAGGGTATCCTTAAGCAGGAATATCTCTATACGGTAAATATTAACATGAGTATGGCCATAAAGACGAGAACGCTTGCAATTTTGAAGCAACCCCGCCCGGTGAAAACTTGTTTAATATGAAAGCCTGCGCTGGTGGTTTTGGTGATGTGGATTTGTATATACTAGAGATCGGAATTCTTCGTTTGGATTGGCCAAGTCGTAGTCCCGATTTCAATTACATAAAGCATCATCATCGTTCTGATGGGGAAAGTGAGATCAGTACAGCTGGCTCCACAGACAAGAATTAAGGTTAGGAACATATTTGGCATGAAACCAAGAGGGAAATACTCACTTGCACCCCCAACAATGCAAGCTTCGATTGCAGCAATAGGGGTCACATTACATATTACACTAATTTTCTTTCAATTTTTTAAACATGAAAGAGACAAAATTAACGTCTTTCGATTTTACTTAGCGAGCAGGTACACTTCCAGCGCTTTGAACCTGGATATTATTTCTCATTGATTTTTCAAAAATTTATGATAAAAGTGGTAATATTTCATAGTACTTATTATTTTTTAAAAATCCTCAGGGTTAGAATAGGTGCCTAAGATTATCAGACTTGTACTAACAATAAAAATGTTTTATTGCTCAGGTGCCTGTTTTTAACCGACTTCAAAAAATGAGGAGGTTTCTCAATTCGGCCGTATATAAAAGGTGCCAAACGAGCAGACGGTTCAACTGATGGTAAGTGAATACCGCCGCCCATGGACATCTGCTATACCCGAGGGTTACAGATGCGTTGACAACCTTTTGAAAATTGGGCTCCGGCTACCTCACTCACCAGACGAAACGCGAAAGTATTTGTCATTCTTCCACTTTAAGCTGGTCTTCTGTGAGGTCGTTGAACTTACCCTGACGGGCCTGCCCATTCGTGCAACAGCCGAGGCTGCTGCGTGGCCCTACCACCGTAAAATACCGTTTTATGTGTGTTCAGTGATAACTTTGTCATTTATGAACCGATTTTGATGATTCTTTTTTTGTTGGAAAGGAGATATTCCAAGGGTGGTACCCAAGGATGAAGGAAACCCCGATCTGATGATGGCATCCCAGAGAAATCGAGGGCAATCCTCAAATGTTTTAGGCGTTGATAATGTTATTTTAGTTTCCTGTTTGAAGTCGGTTTTTTTTGTTCAAAATTATTTGCAAAAGTTATACATTTTTATACAGTAACTTTATTATACACGTCAGTAATCAATCAATTAATTATAATTTCTTGAAAATGGTTGTTAAAATTACAAAATAAACCTATTCCATCAGATTTTATCAACTTTTGAAAAATTCGCCATATTATCTTAATAATAGGTAAGTATTATAAACATACTTAGACTTTATATTAAATTAATATATCCTTCAAATAACATGGTTTATATATGCTAACATAATGTTAATGAAAGACAGTATTCAATAGTTAATTTTTTATTTTAAAAAAAATCTCATAAATTATTATTTACATAGTCTATCCACTAATTAAAGCAGAACCAAAGTTCTCCGAAACATTTACAAGTGGCGGCGTGCACTTACAATTAACAAGTTAATGACATTAAATAATTTGCTTAATTATTTCCATAGAAATATGAACCGAACAAACATTATTATCAAAAAAAACATAACACTATCTTACTATGACTTTGTCACTGTTCACTTAAATTTTAACAAAAATATATTTCTGTCGCTTGTCAGCCTCAAGTTAATATTTAAGTATAAAATATTAGTATCATAATTAAAAAGAATCTTCACAGAAGATATTTGTTATTTATAAAAGCCCATCAAAAACTAATAATAATATTGAAAAATATCAGACATTTTTTGACTATCACCACAATTATTTTACCTAAAATATTGCTTATTTAACAATCTGCCTAGTAACGTAAAGTAAAAAAAATATATAACAATTAATAAAGTAAGAAAAATTGTTAAATTTCTTATAACAACATTGTTATTAAATACAAATCAATTAAATACTTGGAAGTGACAAATGGAGTTAACTTAGCGTTTAAATTTTTGTAATGATAAATAACATTAATTAACTTTATTAACCTTCTTATCTTGAGAATATGTTTATAAATAATAAAGATTGTAAATTGCGTTCGCGGAATTTACGAAATGGTTAATTTCATGTTATGTCCGATTATCATAATATGAAATTTCTCGGAATATAAAATTAACAATAACAATAAATCTATTATTAGACTTAATGCATGTTACTTTATTTCACTTATTTCAATAACTTTCAATAACCGAAACGCATAGACACGATTAAAAAAATAATAATATTTATAAAATATTTTAAGCAGTAATTTTTGTTTCTTTTAAATTTGTTTTAATATAGAAAAATCTTTTAATAAAATGTTTACTAACTAGTATATCGAACCACAAAAAATTTCTAATATTTTACTTCCATTAAAAAAAAAATAACAATACAACGTTATACAACAACATTTTTCATTTACATGACCTATAATCGCTATATAGATGGAGAATATTAATTCCTCACATAACTCAAACTAAAAAATACATATAAGCGTTTTTAATTTATATGAATTAAACATTAATGTTTAACGTTAGCTAAGTAATTTCGACGTCAAGTTATTACTTAATTATTAAATTAGGCAGCCCATAACATATAAACAATAAAAAGACCAAAATATAATTTTAACAGACTAGTGAATGAATTTTATATGGCATTGCGTTTTATTCGAGACGTCTAAACTTTAGATGTCGCCGTCAACATCACGTAGCTAGCCCTAACGTTCTCTTCCGCCACTGGCTCCGGCCTGAAGCATCGGTGCGGCTCAAAGTCAGCTGGTTTCTTCAACATCCTCCTAACAAACCATACGAGGCCGATCACTACGACCATCAAGCCCAGAGCCACGCCCACTAGCGCCACATTCAAGCCTTTCATGCCTGATTTCATTTCCATCGAACCAACTGGCTCCTGCAGTTGGGGGACAACGCAGATTGGTCGCATTTCGTTGCTTTTGTACTTGGAGATTTTAGCGCACACCTCGTAGGGCCCCCGTACGAACCCCTCCATGGATATCTCCAAGGTCGTTTGGCAGGGAGTGTCCTTCTGCGCTACTAAAGAACCCTTGGCCAAAACTGCCAATACCACGTAGCAGTTCATAGCGAGATACCTGTTGTCAGGTGTGGACAGTCGCTGGGAACGCGGCAAAACGTAAGGCGAACGCTGCGGTGGGAGGCCCATCACTGATATCAGAACAGTGAGAACTCCGTCTGTTGTGACATTGGAACGAACCTCTGATACTCTGAAAAAGGAAACGGTGGTCGATCAAAAGTTTTTATTCTTTGCTTCAATTGAAAGTTAATCATCACTAACCCTAAGTAGATAGATATGTTCAGCAGGGAACTCTAGCAGGCTGAAATGATGATAATGATGATGAAATACTGATAACCAATTTAAAATCATCAACGATTTGAAACTGGTTATCACTATTACTTATAATGTACGCAAATCATCAACACTTTACCGTTATGGAGTAGATAGGTATGACTAGCCTTAGTAGTTTTTCCAGCATAAGTCTCTTTTTCCCAGTTTTGACGCGTTACTGCATTACAATATTTATCACTAACTTTAATTGCATGATAACAGTAAAGTTCTAGTTCATTCATATTGAGAGAATATTCTGATTAAAGTGTTGTTCGCCATAATTTTATAATTATATCACTATTATAATATTGCGAGCTGTTCGGTTGCGTAACTCCGAACAGACATTATTAAATGAAAATAAGATCAGATAAATTAAAGAGGCTATAATTCGTAATCGTAGCGTCTGTAATTTAAACTTCAATTACCGACCTCTCGAATACTTTACCGCATCCAAGGTCACGGGACGGACTGAACCATAAATGATGTAAAGTATGCGAGTCGTCGGGACCTAAAGTTTAAATTAAAAGCGATACAATCCGTAAAATAGTTTCATTTAATAAGATGGTGAGACTGTCACTGGCGCATAGTACGTTAGTAAAAATGTGGTTAGCTTTTACTATCTCTGTCTACTCCGTCAGAGATTAAAACCAAGTTAAGAAATAATAATCATATCGTCGCAGAAATGTGTATTATTATAAACCAAAACCCACCTTATCGGTTTTACACCAATTAGCCTTTTAAACCAAGAAATTTAGAATCCTTAACAACATATGGTTTTATTGAACAGGTTAGCAGTATAACAATCTTTTGTCGTGTTCATTATGGACTAAATTCGGTGTTAGTTTGCATAGAAGTAGTATATAAAAGTAGTAGAAAGTAGTAGTATTAGCCTTAAGTAAGTATCCTATAGCCTCATAGTGCGGAAATCTCGACATCTGTCGATGCTTGGCTCCATCTAGTGCACATATAAATAAATATAAATATTTATTATCACTAACATGACGCCGACACTTTTGAAACCACATTTCTTCAATTAATATTCGAATAACAGCTTCGCTTTTGTTCTTGATTGAAATAAATGAATAACTTAATTTCTTGTGCCAACCTATGCACTCAAGATAAATTAATAAAATTTTAATGTAAAGCTGTTAAAAAAAAATATCTAGAAGTAGATAAATTGTGGAAAAATTTATCTTCAAAACATTGACAAAGATCTTTTGTCCCAGTATCTTCTATTCGTAGTTTAGTCCACTTACCTGAACGATGGTCTCGGCGGTGAAGTTGTGACGGAAACGGTAGCCACTGTTATATACTCGGCCCTTTGCCTCACTAGTTGCGGTGTCCCACAACCCAGCACCAAAGCCATAGGTACATCGTTGTTATCCATTTCCTCCAACGCGATACAAAACCTACGAATTTATGATCAAAAATATCTAATTTGATATATTTCGCATCAGTACTTCATATTACTTAGATGAAAAACAGTTTGGAATATTACTCTTGTTTTAATAAATTATTTGTTATTAAAAGTTGTCATTGCTCCTGCTAAATATATATTTTATAGGGGGATATTCATTTGTTTTCTCGTCTGGTTGGGTTTATATATAGAAATAAACATATATTACTAACATATATTACATACATGTAATTACTTGTGTGTAATATACAAAAACTTACATGTATATTACTTACATATATTATTAACATATATCGATAACATACACGTAATTGTTAAGTTTGCAGTTGGGCCACAAATTACATATATGTCTATAAGAATAAATACTATACATTGTTTGAAAATTTGTTCTCCATTTTTATCCTGTTACATTTCTATTTAAAATTCTATATATGATATGCTAACATATATAATAATAAATGAGCAATGTTTTGTAAATAAGAGATAATTAATTGTTATTAACGACTTGCGAAAGTTTGCACAAGTACCTTTCTTTACACTTAAGTGTAACCAGAGCACATCTAATCTTACAGTAACTCTTATTCTAGCTAACCGAAATCAATCAATTTACAACATAACATCAAACAAGGTAAAATTAAATAAAATTTTCTTAGGTTTTAATTATAAAATTTCTCACGTGTATCGTTCAGCGGGATCGATCTTGAATCCGCGTAGAACGATATTCGCTGGCGGAGCTCTGTGGCAGGCCACATGCTTGGGCAACATTCCACCTCTAGAAGCTGTCACCCCAGTACAACGGAATCGCCGCGAAGAGGGGGGATCGAGAGACCAGGAGAGGTGAACTTCCTCTTTGTCGTACCACGCATCCACAAGATCCACCTATTATGTTAAAGTATACTTACTTAACTATATAACATACTGTACATGCACCTGCTTATGTTTGTTAAAGATGCTACATACAAAGATAAGCATGTTATGTTTGTTAAAGATTATATTTGGGCTAAATATAATTTTTTACAAACATAAAAGGTGAATTTTATTTTCCGTCACTATATCCTTATTTCTAAATTCCTTTTATTTTTATTGTTTGCTTTACTTTAACTTATTTTTTTTCCTCTTGTAATTATTCTTAGGTTATTTAATTTATTTGCTTATTTTTTTTAGTTTGTTATTTTGTAATTATAAACATTGTAACCAAATGTAATATGCGTGCAGATGAAGTGTCGGATTAAATGTCTTAATGTCTTAAATTTATTACAACAAATCGATGTTTAAAAAAAGTCTGTTGGGATTAAAAAACATTTTGTCGTCAAAAACTCCTTTTATATAATCTTAACAGCATCATCTAACTAGCGGCGAATTATCGTGTGATTCGTTTGATAATAACTTACGACATTGATAAAATCGAGAAAAACCGGATGAAGTTCAAAAGTTCAACATCACGCCGGTATTCTGTGCTGTCTATAGCGCCCGTAGTAGGTATCACAACCTTACCATCAAATGTTCTTCTTGATCGTTTACCACTTTTTCAAAATATTCCTTTTACGTTTTATATTGTTTAACAAGAACTTTACTCACTTTCGTCTTAGATATCGGCAAGTCCTCTTCTCCGGGAACTTCTAACTCTTCATCGTATATGTCGTCATCTAAACCTTCGGCCCTATCGATATATACATCACCATCGACCACCGGATTGTCGACAACGCTAAGCTTGTCACGTGCCATGTCGATATCGCTTTCGAAAATCTTGTTGTAATCGTAATTAATTTCCTCTTTGGTCTCGATGTGCTCGAAGTCGTCACAGAGTTTGTTTTTAGACAGACGGGAGAGCAGCGCCCCTTCCAAATGGGGCGGTGTGGCGCAGACTGCGGCGGATTTGTCAGACTGGGACAGGTTTTTTGCCTCCCGCAACCACCTCGCGAAGCCGGCCATTAGACAGTCGCAATTGAGCGGATTGTCTGCAACGGAGACCAAGTTCATCATTATCCTGTTTTTACCGGTGTTTTACAAACGTACCAAACCCCGTTTGTTAGCGATTTAAAAGTTTATTTTATATTAGCATGGTTCTTAGCTTGAACTCTGTGTTTATTGTTCTACTATTTAAATGAAGGTAAATTAAATAAACGAATAAACGCATTTAAGTTCCTATTCAACACAAAATGATTGTGATTAAAAAAGCTGATTTCCTAAGTATTTGCTGCTGAAGTAAAACATTGTGACAAGACTGCGTATCTATGAAAAAATAAAAAAGTTTCAACGAAAACCGCTAAGCAATGGGGTCGCTTAATGATCTAATAACCTCTTTAAAAATGAATGTCCTTCCTCATTCCTTCATTCCGGTACTTCAAAGTTAGCGCCTAGCTTACCTACCGCTCTCTTTTGAACATCACATACACCAGTTGATTAAATTAGACTAGTCCAAATAAAATCCACTTAGAAACTCTGTGGTCTTGCTTCTTGATTAAATTCAAACGAAACGCATGTAAAAATTGAATCGTACCTTCGATCGTGAATCGACTCAAGTCTTTGTGCTGAGATAATGCTCCATCGTCAATCATAGCGATGTCGTTATCGTGAAGAAGTAAATCGGTAAGACATCTGAGAGTCTTTAGAGGTTCTGCTGATAGTGATCTCAGGAAGTTATGCGATAGATCCAAATGGACCAGGTTTATTAGCTGTGCTAAAGAGGCGCCTGTGAAAGAAAATATAATTTTAAACCGATAACCTAATAACTATTCGAAATATGTAAAATTTTACTGTAATAGTAACAAGGTATAACGCGAATATAGTTATAAAAATTAGTATTCTGTTCGATAGCTACGTTGTTTACAAATATCAAGTCAATCCATTAGCTAGTTTTACAACTTTTAAACATACAACAGAAACCTAATTATAATATATGAAGATTGACTCTGCTTATGGCTGTAGTTATTAATGGATGAAATCCACGATCCACGCGTTTGATATGAATTTGCGTATGAATTTCTGACGCTTTCAATACTTTTTCAGCATTCATGATTACCTGTTAGCCTTAGGCTAATCATCTAAATGTTAAATTGGAAGTGACAAAATATGCTAAAATATTTCGATTTAATAAAGTTTAGTTTCAGCTTAAAGAAATAAATAAATGCTACCAATAAGTATATACAATGTTTCCCAAAAATTTAAGTGTCATACGTATTTCATATGTATATATGTATATATATGTATATATATATATATATATATATATATATATATATATATATATATATATATATATATATATATATATATATATATATATGTGTGTGTGTGTGTGTGTGTGTGTTTGATTTACCAGAAACAGCCACTATTTCATTATGTGACAAATCCAAATGCGTCAAGTTGGTGAGATGTCTGAAAGCGTAGTCCTCCAATACGTCAACTTGATTGTTATGTAAATTCAAGTGAGTCAGATTATTTAGACCTGCAAAAATGTTTTCGATCATGAGACAAGTATATTTTTCAAACAAATTTAATGGTTTTTAATAAAAAAGAAATTAAAGCATAAACTTTATAATTAAAAAAAATCTGTAATGCCAAAAACTTTTACCTTTGCATGTGACATGATTTCATGTATTGTCTGAACAATTAATTGAAAAAAAACAATTGAAATTTATATATAAGCGTCGTTAATAAGATCCTAACAGTATAAGTCAACCGCCTTCAATCAAAAGAAATTTTAAAATACATTAGATATTTTGGGATGTTGAATATATTTTACTGTAACAATGTTATAACAGAAAAGGTTGCTTTAAAGATATTGTGTGCTCACCCGACAATGCACCGCGACGTATGCTGGCGAACGTATTGTCGGAAAGGTGGAGTATATTCAGGAAACTAAGCGGTGGCACCGTCGTGGGCCCCAGCGGGCCCTCGAGAGCGTTGCTCGAAATATCCAACTCTCGTAAATAATGAGCGTCCTGTTTAAAACGAAACATTCTCCGAAATTTATACGTGCAGGTGTGCCTTCGAATTTTCCGCATAACGACGCAAAACAAGCGGCAATTTAGAAAACAACCGGTGCAATGGTAGCGTAGCTTTGCAAACTGCACTGGAACAGCTAGTTTTTTTATGTGAAAAGTTGTCAAGCGAGCGGGCAGTTCAGCTGATGTTACGTATCGCCACCCATGGAGCTCGACAATACCCGATGGCTTGCAGATGCGAAAACCTTTGCAAAGTCTGCCCCGGCTACCTCACTCAGATGAAATGCTAAAGTTTAATACTTCCACTTCACGCCGGTCTTCTGCGAGGCCGTGGGATTACAGTAATCATTCGTTGTAATTTGTTTAAGCGCGTTAAACGCACGTTCATCTGATGCCATTAACGAAAATACAACTACTTTAAAATTATTTCCGCTTGTAAATGATTTACCTCGGCTTTAATAAATTTTGTTACTGTCGACTGCCAGCAATATATTGTACTGTCTTTTTAATTTATGTTCCTAGAAAAACCTATACTTGAACCAAATTTAAATCAACACAAATTTTATTATTTGTATATATTTTAAACATTATAAAAATAAATGTATGTGTTAAAATTGTATTTTGTATTCACCCAAGGGCTTGGGGAAAAAAATCACACGAAATGATGTTGCGCATAGTTAATTTTATTCAAATAAAATCATGTTGAATCTCAAATTTTCCAAGAAAGAAATAAGGAAAATACTGGACCTACCTTTAAGGAAGAAAGAGCAGAAACTTTCAATAGATTTCCTCTGAGCCTTAAAACACTTAATTTCGATAAAGGTTTGAATGCGTCCGGTGATATATCAGTCAGCTGATTGTCGCTTATATCTAAGTAAGTTAGATTTTTTATGCCCTAAAAAGTAAGAACATAGATTATTTCCAATTATCCAGTCTTAAACTCAAAAAAAATATGCGAGAATCTTTTATGTTTAAATATATTATACTGCAAAATACTACGCTAATAACAATTTTCAAATTTTCCACACAAATTATATTTCATCTTGCAAGTTAAAATTCTACGTGACCATGATTGTTTGTTTTGTTTGATGAACTAAATTTGTAAGTCATTAAAATGTATGTAAAAGTAAATAATAAAAATTACCTTAAAGGAACTCGCGTCTAGCATGTGAATTTTGTTACTAGACAAGTCCAAACGATCCAAATGCATAAGGTGATTTAAAGCTTCTGTCGGCACTGATGGCAACTGATTGTTTGGCAATCCTAAAAAAGAGGAACTGAATCTCACAAAACATTATAAAGTAAACGTATACGTTCGTTTTGAAACAATAATCGATTTGAATCTACAAAGAACGCCGATTAAGAAAAAATAATATATTTTTCTTTGTCTTTTTTTAAATGAATCCTGCACAAATGAATATAAATTCAATAGGGCTTGTTACACAAATGACATTCATGGACAGAATACACAGACTCGAAACAGCATTTTAACACTAAGCTTTATAACAATTGATGTGGTGACCACCTAAAGTATTAGGCTTTCCGTGCATTTGATTTAAAGAAAAAGTAACGTAACGTCGAAACAACAACTCTCTGTTTCGTAAAAATATTTCCCTATGTAGAGAAAATTTGTTGAAGCTCAGCACACAACGTCGTTACGGATTCAACTTCATAACTTTAGTTGTAGTACGTTCCATTGCCAAAAAACAAATTGTACTGTTTTGCTTGAAATTGAATACAATCTACTAAATTTAAGCCATCAAAGGAACTTGTTACAAAAATGTAAACCTTAAAGTTAGTGTTGGGGTCGTAGGCATGACCGAAACACATATACATGACCAAAACACTGTTTAAGGTAAAACAACTGCAGTATTTTTTTTTGTGTAAGAAGATGGCAAGCGAGTTGGTGGTTCGTGGATAAATGCCATGTTCCACTACGCTGGTCTTCTGCAAGGTCACGGTACTTCCCCGGACGGACCTGCCGGTTCGTGTCACAGTGTTGAAGACTATTAAGTGTTACTACAGTTAAAAATACTTCATGTAAAAGTTCAGACCTAACGCTAACAAGGTGGCTGATATCGAACTGAAGGCTCCTTGCTGCACTCTCCTGATGTCTCCCGAGGATATAACCAGTCCTTGTAGGCCGACGCCGGCCAGTTCGGAAATAGAGGCGGCCGGTAAAGCTGATACGCCACGCAGTGCACAATCCAATAATGAAACGGCAGTGTTTTTGTTTCTAGCCTTCTGCTCACGGAGATGACGACCAATGATCTATAAAAAAAGCAAAAGTGATTATACGAAACAGCATAAAACATTAACTGAAGTAGAAGAAATAAGGGACTTAGGTGTAACAGTGGACAAGCCCCTTAAATTCACTTCACATATTAATAATATTGTAAATAAATCCGCGAAAATGCTAGGTTTTCTTAGGCGAAGTACTGCGGGTTTCCGTCTAAATTACACCCATAAAATATTATACAATGCTTTGGTCCGAAGTAACTTAGAGTACGCTAGCGTGGCATGGAGCCCTGTATATGCTGTTCACTCCCAACGCTTGGAGGGTATTCAGCGAGCGTTCACTAGGCATATGCATTTATTTCGCAGGGCATGTCACACCGGTCACCATATGAGCATCGTCTTGCCTTTTTTAAAATGAACTCGTTGCGTTGCCGTCGAAGAGACCATGATTTGGTGTTTTTGCACGGGCTTGTCAACGGTGAAATAAAATGTAGGGAACTCCTGGAACATGTTAAATTGACAGTGCCAACTCGCATACCTCGACATCCTATCAAAAAATATTTTGCCTTGCCTTCTGTAAGGACTAACTTTGGACGCCATTCTCCTCTTGCCAGATGTTGAGAACAGTACAACGAGATGAATATAGAAACATTAGACATTTTCCACGACTCGTTGTTTAAATTTAAACGAAAACTTGCCGGCCTTTTGTGAACAGGCATTTGTTCTCTTGGTGTACCTTTTAAATAAATAAATAAAAAATAAATAAAACTCAACTGAGAAAACGCCAAGCAGTTGTCATATCCACGAACCTTAGAAGAGGTCTAACAATGCTCTTCGTCTGATTTCAAGCAAAAACATCAGTTAATACAAGATACAAGATCGTCTGATTTCTGATGATGATGATGCTTATGATGAAATAATATGTTTTAATTGTGTAAAAACATAAATTTTTTGCGACATTATATAAGATATTTTTCATACTCTTTCCGAACATATTTAAACTAGACAATATCTGAAAGCCTAGCATAATTTTTCGATCACAACTCATTTTTAAGATTAAATAAAAATAAATAATAGGCTTAATATAAAAAACGTAGGTAGTCAATTTTATCTAAATTAATGGCAATGGGCTAAACAAGAACGCAGTTATTTATAAATTTCTAATGTTGTTCTATATTTTATATCCTATTTTTAATTTTTTGCTTACAACCTTCATTTGTTCGTTTTTTATTCATTAAAAGTAATTAGTCAGCCCTGTAACCCTGTGGAGATTTGTTCTTTATTTTTACTTAGGAAGGGGACCCGATTTTCTGCAAGATTAAGAAAGGTTTTTAACACTATTAGAGGAGCTTACTTCAATATCTCATGTATCTTAATATAAATGGCTCGGACACTGAAGGCATCTATTTCAATTTAAGACATAATTCTTTGATATAAAAGTCATAGGTGATGTTAATGTTAAATTTATTTAATATGGTATAAAAATAATATCTTTAGCTTTAAGAATAATATAAATATATAATAATAATACAAAAACAAGAACGTGTTAGGTGTCCACGCTTAAATGGAGAAGAAATGAAAAATCTAAAATGTATGCGCTCATTTAGTGAAAACTGTGGTAGGGCCACGTGGCAGGTTCTAATCTAGCATAAGTAAAGCGTAGTAATAGCGGTAAAGTAGAATTATTATAATTTCACGTTGACGGGAAATATAATAATTCTACTCACGTGAGTAACCAGAGTCTACTTTTTCAAAGGTTGTAAATGTATCTTCAACGACTCAGGTACGCCGCTTGCTCTCTTTCCAACTTGTGATATAAAAAAATTTTGTTCATGTAAATAAAATAAAACCATCATAGTAGTAGTAAAATTAAGTACATACAGGAAATATTAAACACATAATAGCTAGTAACTACTACTGAGCTAACTAGGTAACTAGCTCAGTAATAGTCAGTTGAAGAAAGAATCATATCGACCGATTAAGTCTGAGATATATACTTATAGACACATATAATTTAGTAAATTTAAAATTTTAAATTGTGTTTACTGTAACACACACCAATTATTATACCATATATTTATTTATTTTATTCATTTATTTGTGTATAGTAGTGTTGTGTACATGTATCTATAATATCTATATTTACAATAGCGTATACCTCAAACTCTTTTCACTGATCATTGTATCCTCAGTAACATGATTGCCTGGAAGAAATCGCTTCTAAGCGATAAGGCCGCCAATTGTACCTTTATGTGATTGTTTGTTACTTTTGTAATTTTGTCTGGTGTACAATAAAGCGTATTTCATTCATTCATTCATTCACCAAATGTTCCAAGATACAGGCCAGTTTCCAGGATACACTTTACAGATACAGGCTACTTTGGAAGCGAAAATTCGTATAAAAAGTGCGATTTTTTTAATTTACTTTATTTAATAGTTCTTGTGAGTCTATATTTGTGTAATAGAAGATATTAAATTAATACATTTTAATAGCATTTGGCTGACTGATCCGCAAATGCATGATCTTGATGCAGTTATGGTTCAAAAGTAGTTATTCCTTACGATACAACAGAAAATAATATATAATTAACAAAAAAGATTTCTCAAGTAAAAAAACAAACAACCATACTTATACCGACTGGTTTGTGCAATTTCTTAACATGTCGAGATGATACTGAGGCATCTTCTAGCACATACCAAAATAGTTATAGAGAAAGCGGAATCTAGGGATGTCAAATCGGAAATAAGGGTGTCATGACTAGTGATTTCATCGACCTCTTCACCACAATACGCTCTGGACGTTACTGTAAACAGAGATGTGTCAACAGTAGACGTACAAAAGAAAATAGACATTGGAATAAAACAATCCACTGGCGATACAAAAGCTCAATGACCCGAAAGCCGGTGTAGCGACATCCGTATTTGTACAGAGCCGCTCCAGTTTTGTTCCAATACCGTGCCTTTTTCTATCAGACCCCACTGCTTTTTTCCTTGTATTATTTATTCATTCAAACGACCACGTTTGACATTGCAAACGGACCTCGCACAGTCGCATCGGCGGCGCTTAAACAGGAATAAATTTAAAACCGTGCGAAATTCGCTTTTTATACGTTCGCAGGCAATGATGTTTTGGTAAAATTGGCGCATGTACATATTGCACAACGCGCGTTTAAAAATTTTTCCGCTTTATATTACATGACATATAACCACTAGTGCTGCTTGTCGGTATAATAATTATTAATATTTAAGTTCAGTAATAGTTAAAATATTAGAATCAAGGTAAAAACTTTAGAACTCTTATATCAGAAGTGGGATTCGAGACGAAAACTCGCGTTTGGCTGTTGAAACAATCGGCGACATATTTTCTCCTTGGGTACCTACCCTCGTAAAATAAAACAGTGTGTTTTATACTTACTATACGAAATGGTGATAAAATCTTTTGGTTAAATGTAACGAAATTTTGGTGAGTACCTTCCAGTTAATTAATTACTTAACATATTTGAGAAAAAGTAAAATAGCGATACACAACTGGTTTACCCGGTTAAGCTACCGAGCATTTTAGTCATTGGAAGATTTAAGGTATGAACTGGTGATGGATATCCATTGTGAACACCAGCACTGGTACTTCGAAAACGTAGTGATATACGACTGGTGTAACCAGTAAAGTTACCAAGGTTTGATAAATCACTGAAAACTGTAAACGAGGCGATATGCATCCCAGTTGTGAGGAATAAGCCACAGGGTAAGGTGTTCTGAACGTGGCGATATGCATCCCAGTTGTGAGGGATAAGCCACAGGGTAAGGTGTTCTGAACGTGGCGATATGCATCCCAGTTGTGAGGGATAAGCCAAAGGGTAAGGTGTTTCAACGTGGCGATATGCATCCCAGTTGTTAGGGATAAGCCACAGGGTAAAGTGTTCAGAACGTGGCGATATGCATCCCAGTTGAGAGGGATAAGCCACAGGGTAAGGTGTTAATTATATGAAGGTTACTTGCACCAGACTACAACGCAGTTCGAGGACGAAGGCGTGATGCAGGACGGCAGAATGTTGGCGATGGCAACACTGTATACCGAATATGATGTTATCTACTCGAGCGAAGGGACACATGGTCGCATGGAGCAGCGGTCACTTGGATACCGGCTGCGTTCCCGGACGGTGATATAACCGCTAGTGCTGCTTGTCGGTATAATAATTATTAATATTTAAGTTCAGTAATAGTTAAAATATTAGAATCAAGGTAAAACTTTAGAACTCTTATAGACACATATAATTTAATGTGACAGATGATATAGAACGTACGATACGGAAAGAGATAGCGGTATATAGAATTACACCAATGGCGTAATTGGAGTGCAATGGCTGTAAAATTTTTCCTCTGACCTCTGAAATTCGATGCCCTAGGCCGCTATCATATTAATTATTATTTATTTTGTCGATAAAATTGCAACTTTATAATTTGTGCTATAGTTTTTTTCTCGTAATTAGCATGATTTTGAACTGGAGTTTTGTTGTGTCAGTTTCTAGACTATTTTCGCAACCAACGATTTAGTGAAGATTACCTGAAAAATAGTTTTTGGGTATATCTCTGAGCTAAAAAGAGCTTAATAATGATCTAATTATAAAAAAGGGTAAGGTATACCTTAAAAATATTTGGACCAATAGAACACAACTAACACATTTGCCGCCCCCTAAAATCTGCCGTCGCAGGCCTACAGCCTGCTGGTAAATCCGCCACTGTTTGAGTGAATGCCTCAGTTTCAATGCACTAGTGGCATATCTACTTCGTTTTTGTATATAATATCATTGTTCGCATGGTCGTGTCTGCGTCATTGTTGCATGAGACTATAATATTTTCATAAAAGACAGAACAGTTATAACATTGAGTATAAAATTAAAATGAAACTGCAATTTTGCAATGATTGGATCCAATCCGGACTCAATACTTCGTTGTCGATATTCTTACATTTAAAGCGATGGACAACTATACAATAACATTGGTTTAAAATCATATTGTCATAAACTACGCGATAA